GTGCTTCGACCGGGCCGGAAGCCACACTGCTCTTCTTGAATCTTGACGTCAACTATTTCACGGCATCTTTTTTCTAACACCTTTGCATAGACTTTACATTGCAATAAAAATCTTTATTTTAGAAGGAATTGGCGTGCACCCGCATGCTCGTTATTGAAATCACCGATGGAGTCAGCAAAATACGTGGCATGGAATTCCGTCCCATCGATGAAGTGTCCATCAATAGTAAGCCCGGGTGCAAAGTACAGTGTTATAATTATGATAATTTATCAGTAGCAGTTGCGCTGCAATGCATTTGTCTAGGCGAGATTAATCGGTCCTATTCAACTTATCAACGGCATGCTGCTTTTGTCCCCTGACAATTTCAAATTGCTTGGCGGGATGGTAGATAACTTAGCAGCCAACAGTTCACCCGTGACAGTTCTGAAAAGGTTAGTCTAATGATAATGGACAGCGTTTCGCCTCCAGTAAGCTATTTCAGGAAACTGGGATTGCCGCTTAATGACGAAGAATCTGAAAAACCCGGTAAAGGTACACCAATTCATTCCTTAATAATTCTAACTACATTTTTTAATTTACCGTTATTATTTATTTTCTATTTCAAAGGGCTTTTCAGACCAGAAGTTCTGCGTACACCTTAATTTGTATTTTATTGATTTAGCTGTAGAAAGTCAAAATATATCGAGTGAATCTACCTTTACCCCACTGGTTTGCATGATTCTTTATTGTACAGCCGTCCGGTTGCATTAGACGCCTATTAGCAGTTTCCGATTCTATGATATTTAAGTGCTTCCAGTGAACTGTTGCATCATAGATCTTTTTTCTTTGGCTATAGCTGGCTCCTTGTCACTGATGCTTTAGAAGTATGTGTTCCTTATATGTTGTCAAAAGCGACATCAAAAATATTAATTCGAATGCTGGGAAAAGAGGATCACAGGAACGTTGGTAAACAGCAAGTTATCTATTTTCAGCCCATTCACTAAAGCCTACGCGAAGTGCTTGGCAAGGAGATACTAAGTCATTGTAGAAGAGAAAGTTTAGGACAGAAAATTTGTTTTTTGTACTGTATTTCATACCCTTGCTCTCAGCCAGATCTGCAGAAAGGGCTGGGAATACGCTACGACGGTTTGGCTTACTGGTTAAGCCTGGAGAGGTCTTTTGATGGCCGCACAAAGACGTTGAGAGTATTGCAAAAACGGTTAGTATATGGCTGCTTAATGGCGCCATCAGATTTTATTCGACTGTTCATACGTCTGTGTTCAGATTAATGACAAGAATTTTCTGCCTTTCAAACAGATGTTGGTCTCTGTTTAGTTTCCTGTTCCTAATCTTCATGTACTGAATCAGCAACTCAGCCTGGATGCAGAGAAGTTTGAAATGTTTGACTGAGTCACTCGCTATTTGCAGGTAATCTGCGCCGGTGGTTTCTGCTTCTCTCATTCTTACCTCAAACGTGCATTTGATCGGTTCGCTGCCGCATGATATTAATGCCGGGAGAAAATCAGTCTCAGTATTACGCGGATTTTATTCCCGAAAAGGGCCATTCAATGTAACTGGAGCAAGTTAAACAGCTTATATATCTCGGGGTATTCAGGACTGATGCAAACAGGACATGATAATAGAAATGCAGATCTGAAAGGCGAGTGCTGTAGAGTGGTTGCTAAACAGATCTGTAGTAATGACTGCGAAACTGCGCAGTAGTGAGTGCTATCTGTCGTCAGGTCTGTATAATCACCTACCGTTACCAATGATCAAGATTGCATACTTGCCGACAGAGTGCTACCTAGAATAGAAGAAGCAGAAACGAGGTTTCTTCGAAGGATGGCTGGTGTAAAAAGACTACACAATGTTCTGAACACGCAGTTCAAAATACCCTTAATTGTAAGCCGCTCCTTCTTCCGATCGTAAAATCAAAATTTCAATGGTTCAGATATGATCAAGGTACATTAGGTGAGGCTCGCAAAGCAAACTATTTTGACTCTGCTACCCTAGAGACAACCAATGAGCTGACCGAAAATCGCATTGCTCGACTATTACATTGAGCTTTTCGCTTGGTCGCGTCTAAGAATCTAGCTAAGCCAATTGACAGAGAAATGGAATCACTCGTAAACTAACAGAAATGTTTACCCTCGCGACTCAGGATAACTAGCAGGTTTCGAAATTGAATTAATGAATACCGAGAAGGTGCCGATAAACATAGCTGAGCAAGAACGTCATTTAAGCGTGTTGCAGTATATTTATTTTTGCAGTATGTTATAAATACGTTTAGTAACGGTGCATTGCCACAGTGTACTGTCATGTCGAAGAGATTGCTTATAATGTCAAAATTGTCTGATCTTTTCTAGTAGCTCTAGGTTTTGTTAAATATTTGTCTCCCATATATTCGCTTATAGATTGTGATTAAGTTTAAGGTTTAATGCTTAAGTAATGCTGTATCACTCGCCTACCGCCTTTCTTCGTCTTATAAGCAAGAATCATGTCACAAAAAATAATGAAATGATTTTGCATGGGTTATCATCACACGACTATGAGACGGCAAATATTAGCCTTTATGAGAGTAAAAATTTCAGCCAGCGAAGAAGAATGGAACAAAACAAACGAAAAGGTAGAACGGGAAACAAATTAAAAATAATAAGCGAATAGCATTTAGTAACGTAGAAAGAGGACTGTGCTACACTGAGCAAAGTCAAATGGTGCTGTTTAACGATATGCAAAGTACCTTTGAGAAAGACTTTCAAAAGTATTGAATGACGATGCAACCTTTTTCAGAAAATGCTTCTGCCTTTCCCTTATTGCTTTCCATTGACCATAGTTACTTTGTTGTGTCTGAACTAACTTTTTGCAATTTTGTTGACCCGTGAAGTACTTTACATTGAGTGGAACTAAAATTAGTTTATTCGATAATTCTTCACCTTTATTTTTAGATACGCGGTCACAGACGGGCGAACTCATTTCCACGGTGGAGAGTACGCAGGGCAATTCCTGTAGTTCCAGCCAAGCCCTTGCTGCTGCTGCAGCTGAACTTGAAAAAACGATGGAATCTTCAACCGTCAAACAGTTTTCTGAAAACCCGTCATCGGCTGTTGGTTCCTTTGGTTCCAACAACTCGTCATTCATTTCCGACGCTGAATTAGATGCTTTAGCAACAGCCGAAGCTTCCACAGTCGAACTTGCCTTTGGGCATCAAGCGTCTGTTAATGTCAGCTATGGTAGAGATAATTTATCGTTCATTTTCGATTCAGAATTAAGTACCTTAGTAGCGGCTGAAACTTCTACTGTCCAGTTGCCCTCTGCACTCCAAGCACCTGGCACTGCTACTGTTGCCTCAAATGACTGGCCACTGAATTCGGGCAGTGAATCCAAGACTCTGCAATCGTTCGAACCTTCCTTTACCGAACAGCGACCCAAAGTTCTAGTACCCGGAATTTCTATATATATTTCAAAAAACCAGTCCCTAAATTCGGACGGTAAATTCAGATCCTTACCCCCGTTCGAACTTTCTACTCTTTCACAGAACTATGATGTAACTCAAGTATCTGACGTTACTAGTTTCAATTCAAAGAATCAGTTAATAAATGCGGACATGGAATTCAGGGCTTCATTGCCGATCAGCGCACCAGCATCCAGCAACGCTCTACAGTACAATCGTCAGGGGTTGCTAAGTATTCTTCAAAGAACCAATCGCTAAATTCTGTCAGTAAATTTAAAGCTTTACCACCACTTGAACGCTCTACTGTCCAACAGTGTCCATCGGTTAGACATTCCAATGTAGAAACTTTGTCACGATTGAGGCAGTCTACTGTCAGGCGGCCTTGTAGATCTCAAGCACCTGGAATTGCTAGTTTCTCCTCCATCGCTCTACCGCTGAATTCAGACTCCGAATCTAAAGCTTTAATACCTTTTGAAGGCTCTGCTATTCAGATATCTTCGTGGGCTGAGAAGAGGCGGTCTCTGATTTCAGGCAACAAATTGAATGCTTCAACATCATTCGAACGTTCCATTGTTCAGCCGCGTTCTATGGTTCAAACAGCTGATGTTGCCACTTTCGTTTCAGGGTGCTCCTCACCTAATTCGAGCAATGGACACCGTACCTTAACGGATCTAAAATGTTCCACTGGCGAGCAGTGCTCTATGATTAGAGTACCGGACGTAAATATTGGTGCACCGCGAAGCTCGTCACAGAGTTCAGATAGTGAATTCAGTTCCTTAGCAGCTCTAGAAAGTTCCCCTAATGAACATTTCTCATTGATCAAGATACCTTACATTCCGCCTTTCGACTCACCGGATTCGCCTGTTCTGGACATTGAATTCAGTCCGTTAACAAGGGTTGACCGTTATCTGCGCTACATGGCGAAACTGCGCTATAAGGCAGCGGAAGCTAATGACCATAGTTCTCTTTCAGATGGTTCATCGTCAAGTTCAGACAGTGAATTCGTTCTGTTTCGTGGCGCCGGACCGAGTAAGTAGTATTTATTGGGTTCAGTTTTTTTATGAACAATGTACAGGCACTGTTAAGTTGCTGGACATTAGCGACAGCGATTCGCCAAAAGTACTTGATCCTAACGTCGAAACCGTTGCCAGTTTTTACCTAGATGGTGGTCCGGATTTCCACGTACGATCAGACACCCGGACTGGCCTTTCAATCTGCAGAGACTCAAGGAACGTAACGAATTTGGATCAGCGAGTGGCGCGTGGCAGCAAAAAAACTTTTACTTACTTATTGGATATATGCCACGAAATGCGTCACAGCACGTGTCCTCGAGTATTCGTGACAAAGGTAATTGCCTCTTTACCTGCTGTGCATTTTGTTAAACTACCTATTTAGGCGACTATAATTAGCATAGGCAACCAGTTAAATGCAAATCTTGGTACTAAATGGACTATGACCGTCTACGTGAATGACGGAACCATAGGAATCGAATGTTCGTTGGTCGACAGTATGCTGAAGGATTTCATTGGTTTCACAGCGCATGAAGCATGGGTGATTATTACGTGGTGTGTTGCCCTAGCTTTTTGGAATGTATTTTTTAGGGGATCCAAATCGGGACGGTTAAGGATTTGTCGGCACGGTTAGCTGCTCTTAAGGTAAAAGTTTATCCTATTCAAATGCTCTTAAAAGTTTGTAAATATGCCATACCTCTTTTAAAGTGTTATAATGTTCTTCACTGATAGTTGATCAAAGTTTTTGGCTACAATAGTTGATTTCGAGATGAAGTAAAATGCAAAAATTCAACTCCAAAATCTATATTGTTGTTCGAAGCGACTTTCCCAACGCACTTCTGCTTATAGACGATTAACATCCACATTTTCAGACACGAAGGCATTATAGATCAGGAATAGCAATTGTTCAAGATGCTGTATTGGCTGTATGGAGCAGTTTTCTTAAGTTGTAGGTTGGTTTGGAAGTATTCGATAACTACTTTAGTCATGTTTGCCTGAGTGTCTAAATTCATTTTCCTGATCTTTAGACAATTTTCCATTGGGTAAGTTTGTTGAGGATTAACGAATGCAAACTGTCGGTCCTCACGCTTGAGAATTAAATTCGGGACATTGAGAATGGAGAAGTGTGTATTCTGATACATTGTGAAGTTGCCCTAGTAGCAGTGTTAAAGTCATTATTCAAAATGAGCTCTATGTTTGTCTCTGCATTATTAGATTTTGCTTGCTCTACGTTTTTTTCGAACCGAAATTGACCGCTTAGCCATGGCCATAGCTACCGGTGTAGCATCAGATGGTGTTTTGCTCATTCTATGTTCAATCAGAGATTGCGCGATTTTTCTCTATCTTGCTCATTTCTCAATATGATATAATGCGATGTTCTGTTTTACAGGGTGTGAAGAGCTGCGGAGCGTTTTTACAAGAGTTTGATGGCATGATACACATAAAGTTCTTTCCACCCACAGTATTGAATACCCTTCCGGTCATAATGAAATTTGAGCGACTCAACGATGCGGATTTAGATTGCATGTGTTACTCGTCAGAAAGCATTGGCGACCAGTGACCTTAATGATTATACATGGTTATCTTATGTTTTATAGCTTGGTTATAGTAGTGTTTGTGCTCACCATTAGTCCATCGTAAGAACGACGGAATAATTTTGCGAAAATAAATGACGTAAATATTATTCAGAGTTTTATCACAGAGTTTGTCGAAACAAGAGGAGTTTTTGACTCAACAGGTCATGCCTCGCCGGATGCCATTCCAATTTGAGCATAATCACTGCTTCTGTAGAACTGTTTTGTAACATTGATGATTCAGTGCACCGTATCATTGCTGTTGTCTAGCAAAGTCGCGTCTCATTTTTGAAAGAGTAGCAATGTAAGAGTGATTTATTCTTCTATTCTTTGTATAAGTTATTGCTGCACCATAGTTTTCATTTGTTTAGCGCTCCTTTGTTTAAAATTCATTGAGCTTGTGCATTTGTATGAAAATGCCAAAATTTCTGCACATATTATCTGTTTCGCTTCTTACTGCTTTTTTCAAATATTAAGTAGCCTAGCCTGTTTGATCAAACTGCAACAGAACCTAAAACGCTGATAATTACAGAGCAAAAATGATCATTAATTAATGACTCAAATGCAGAAATCCTTTTCAAATAAAAAATACGGTTAGTCAAGCATTCATGTGCATTTCGATTCAATGAAGTACATGTTTTGGACAATTTTGCTTTATACCAGACGTTTGTTTACTGTAAATATGTATTTAACTTTAAGTCACTGTTAACTATCCCATATGAAATCCTTATGAGGTATGGTCACATGATCTGACCTTTGGCACGATGTTGAGATGTGACTCGACAAGTGCCATCACTAAAAGTGCGCTAGGTATTAGAACTTTACTGTTTTAGCTTCTATGCCTGTACTGTTAGATGTGAAGCGTACGCATCAGAGAGCCTGGTTGTATGTCTCGTCTGCAGGCATGATCACAACAGGGCACTGTGTTGTTCGCAGTCGACAATCCGTTTCTTGGCTGCTTTCACTGAACCCCAGTGATATAAATTACGTACTCAAGGAAATTCGCAATAAATAATAAAATGTTTGTAAATCTAAGTGCAAATCCAAACTATTATTCGCACTGCAACAACGAGTTAAGACCACCTGGAACCCAGCGAAAATTCAGTCATTAATCTAATGCTCGGGATCTCTGTGAAACGATGGCATTTCTGGTTGATTGATTTCGCGTTGAGAATCGAAACTATGTACCGCTTGTGAAAGCTACCAAAAGTGCATATCTCACTGACAAAGATCCTCTGTGTCTATCAGCCTCATTTGCAACTGGAAGTATTTTAGCACCAGATGCCGTTTCATCGCTCAGAGGAAACAGGTGCATTCAGCTTGTGCAAGAATGGCATTGCGTGTCATCTTAACCGCAGACTGGTTAATTTATGCAAGGTGGTCCTTAAAAATTTTAAGAGGAGGAGAAACAGGTGTAAAAGAACCAGTGCGCGTTTTAAATCCATGATAAGCGTGATGTAAGAATATATCAGTCCTTTATGTGACATTTGTCAATTGTGTGTATACGCTTGTAGTAAGTTTGAACGCCTCAATTAATTCTTTCTTTAGAAACCCTAGTCTGACTGTTAACATCACTGCTCTCCATATCGACATTCGGTCTGACGAGGAACCAAAAAAGATGGCTCATCACCGCGCAGCGACGTTAGGTGACTGTTTATGGCAGTAAAATGTCAGAGATGACTGTTTTTATCCTTGTACCTTCAGTATAGGTGGAGATTAGGAAAATGATATTCGCCTTGTTAAACAAGTTGGCGCAACATAAACGTTTACTTCAGCCAGTGAGCTTCTCATGTAGGAGTCGAAAAACGATGAACATCGACCAGCATGCGACGTAATGAATAGGACCGATGCAAGTCGGCGATTAGAGGAGGACTACTCATTCTCTGATGCAATAGCAGATGTTGCGTAGCAAAAGCGGATAAT